CACGCTAGCAGAGTTATGTTTTCAGCAAATAGAACAACCATGACTTTCCTGTAACTTATAGAGAAGCTCTAGGAATGTTACACCAGAATTTTTTTTATCCACAGCTATTTTTTTAAATCCAGCTAAGTAGAAATTAGATCAATTAAGACCGTCTTAAACAGTCAAAGTGGACCACCCAAATGTATTATAAAATAGAAATGCAGTAACAATGACTCAACAACGATTTCACTCAAAAGCAAACCAGAAATGTAAAAATAACAGCATGACAGAAAGCTCCAAGACAAATAACTTGTTATAATTATTAAAAATCACAAGCACACACCATTAGACCATGTGGGAGGCCTGGGTGTTTTCTAAAATTAAAGGAAAAGTCCCAAAGTTGAATTATTGGGACATTAAGATTGAGGGTTGCTGATATGCTCCAGTACTTCAAAGGTGGAGGCAGGAGGACCAGGAATTCAAGGCAAGCATGGGCCACTGTCTCAAAAAGATAAAAATAAAAAAATAAAAAGGCATTAGGCAGGGGCTGATGAGAAGGCTCAGAGGGCAGAGGAGCTTGTTGCCAAGCCTGGCCTAGTTTGATCCCCAGGCACCACATGATAAGAAAGAAAGAACTTCTGACCTCCACATATACCACATATACATAAATATGTAGTTTAAAAAAAAAGCATCAAGCATGCTGAGGCAGGAGGATCAAGACTGGGTAAGGCTACTACAATGAAACCCTGTGTCAAAAAAAAAAAAAAAAAACAATAAAGACAAGACTAGACTGCTTATCTTTCAACCTTACTGTTAATGACAAAATATTTCCTGTTTATACCTGCCTAAGACAATTCAATAAATATAATTCTATTTTATTATAAAACATGATTTTTTAAAGGAAACTTGTTTTCATTAAACCAAAATTACCTATTAATCAAATTATTAAAATTCATATAGTAGTACATTAAATTGTGTACCAAAGAAACAACTCACTTTGTAAAAACAAATACAAGCCGGGTGGTAGTGGCACACACCTTTAATACTAACACTCAGGAAGCAGAGATCTGTCTGGATCTCTGTGAGTTCCAAGCCACCCTGGACTACATGAGACTGACTGGGTCTAGGAGAGAAGAACCAGACAGTGGTGGCACACACCTTTAATCCCAGCACTTAAGATCTGTGCCTTTGCTTGGGAGGCACACACACCTTTAATCCAAGGAAGTGATAGCTGGACAGAGAAAGTTACATAAGGCGTGAGGAGACAGGAATTAAGAGGCTTTTTCAGGCTGAGGAGTTGGTAAGAGGTGGTGACTGTGGTTGTACCTTTGTCTCTCTCATCTTCAGGCAAGTTTTACTTGATACACAATATATCACCACAATGACTTAAAGATGAAACATCTTCTAAAATAGAAAGCACTAGCATAGAACAACTTGGCCTAGAGCTATACATGTGTACTGTATTATAATGCCCACAGTCCTAACTTAGCTACTAGTTTGGTAAAAACTAACCACTGAGGCAAGCTGATGAAGTTATTAAGAGGATCAAAGGCAAATTTTTAAATAATTTATCCCCTATTAAACACTAACAAATAAGTTTTCAGTTTGTCTCACTGAGTTTAGAACTTCTCAGCATAGAACGAATTTCCACTCACCCATTACTAGTTTTCCATTTTATTTCCCTCTTTGTAAAATTGTGAAAATACAGATACTATTTGTGCTACTTTCTAGTGTCAAAATGAGGGTAAAGTGTATCTCAGTGGTTCCTACTGTTAATTCAAAACCCTGTTTAAGATGTACCTCTATCAGCACATGTCCACACTAAATGTTATCTATTATTTTAAAAAGAGACGTTAAATTTTATCTAGAAAATTTAAATTATTTCTAATGATCAGTATTGAGTAATTCTTCAATATGTTAAGTGTTACACAAAAATGTTCAGTATCTCTTGAGATTTGGGGTATCTCTTTAGACTTTACCAGTTAAACATGCATCAGCCAAAAGGTTTTTCAACATTTTGACAAGATTTCAGATTTTCTGATGAGGCATGCTCAACATACAGAGTGAATATATTACAAGAACATTTCTAGAACTGATGGGATAAAACATATCATATACCTAGAAACTTCAAATCCTCAGAAGCAATACTGACGCTCCAAAACATGCAATTTTCTTTTCTATTAAAAAATTTCCAACTGTAAGTAACAAAATACGTAATTTTACTAAATTCACACAAATTCAGGAACCAATACATACTCAATTGAGACCTCACTCACAAAAATATATATATACATATGTGTGTATGTGTGTGTGTGTGTGTGTGTGTGTGTATGTGTGTACTTTTTCACACTAATTCATGGAGGATAGGAAAGAATATCCCAAGACTGAAGTTCTGTGAAGTTTCATGGAATCTCTACAAAAACATAACACTCTAAATTATTTGTACTATCACATTTCTTGTTTAAATTATTTAATACTCTAAGAATCCTCATGGCTTGCTTTTCTCTTGTTTTTGAACACAATGAATATAAAATTGTTCTTTTTTCTCTCTGATCTAAAACTGTGGTTCACTCCTCTAATCCCCAAACTCAAGAGCCAGAGGCAGTAGGGTAATCAATAGTATGACCAAAAGAAAAGAGTATACACTACATACACATGTATAATGGACTGCAAAGACAAACTCTGAATATCAGAATATTTTTTATGAGAGGCAGATGGGTCTCTGTGGGTTTGGGGCCAGCCTGGTCTACATATCAAGTTCCAACCTAGCCAGTTCTACAGTGAGACCTTTTGACCCTCTCAAAGAACCAAAATCTTAAAGGAGGGGGGGATTATTTTATGGTAAGTTTCACTCCTGGTATAGAGGACTAAGAAAGAATGGAGTTATGGTTATCTGCTATGCTCCAGAAGATGGAAGTGACGGAAGTGAATTACAAAGTGAGGTATAATTTAGCAAATGACTAGAGATTAAAATGACTAACAAAATACTTGCAAAGGAACTATTAATCAACAAGAATATAAATCAAAAAGAAACAAAAGCCAAGTACTTATGAGTTCATTTATGAAGGTGAATGAAAATCAAAGTGAAGAAACAAATACAGAAAAGGCAAGCAACTCAACCACTACTAGGCCCAAGTGTCAAGTCAAACCCCACACTCTAAAGACTTCCAGGCAAAGGATCTTATCAGAGCTTGACTTCTGAGACTATCACACAACTCTTGGCACATGATGTATGTCCAACAATTGTTGAATGAATAAGGAAGAGAATTTGGTGAGGATTATTTCAACTCTAAAGTAACTTACTGCCTCAGTATAGATAAAATCATT